CCCTCCCCTTTTATTACGAAATCTGGAGTACGATACCGTTGCCCTGCCCCCGTTCTCCATGTCCTCTGGCCTCCCGGGAGGCCCTCGTCACCACGGCCGGCTCCGCCTCATGCCTGTTGCTCGGAGCGCACCCCAGGGCAGGTCCGCTGAGGAGCGGCATCGGTGCCTTTTTACCTAACAGCGAAGACTGATAGGTTTCTAATGAGGTGTGAAGGCAAAAGAGGCTGAAGGCAGGCTGATGCTGAGGCTGAGGCTGAGGCTGAGGCTGCAGGCTGAGGCTGAGGCAGGCTGAGGCTGAGGCTGAGGCAGGCTGAGGCTGAGGCTGTGACTGCGACTGCCGTTGCCACTGCGACTGTCATCGCGAATGCGACTACGACTGCGAGAACAGCAGAATTCTACAACTGGATTCTCATCCGAATCTTAAGGGGAATGCTTCCAGATATGCTCCTACACATCGCTGTTAGGTTGCTTTGCCGGGATTTGTTCACCTAACAGCGAAGATTGATAGGTTTCTAATGGGGTCAAAAGAGAGCATCTGATGACTCCCCAGGGGGATCTGGGCGGGAGCCGGACAGGCGAGGGCCGGGCTCGTTTTAAGCAAACAGTCACACACTTCGTGCTCTTCGACCTCCCAGAACTCCATTCCCGGGCCACAGGAGCGTTGCCAGCGAGCCTGAACACGCTGCAGGAGAAGCGCGGGCCGAGCCGCCAGATCTCCCCGTTCGAGCTGTCCGTCGTGAACTCGATGGACAAGGTGGGCATGGTGATGGCTTCCGTGCCCTGGGGCATGTGCCTCAGGAAGTGCAACGCGAAGCTGCTCCTGACCTGCAGCCTCCTCGTCAACGCGGCGGCCACCATATCCAGAAGGACAGAGAACGTCATGCACAGAAACTTTTGGAGCGTCGCGCGGATTTCCTGGATCGGCGTTGGACACACCTCCCTGGCGCGCGGCGCGCGCTGGGGGCGGCGCCAGAGGCGCCGCCAGGGGGTACCAGCGCAGATCCAGGAAGTCCGAGCGGACCTTCGAAAGTTTTAGTTTATGCGTTTTTTCTTCTTCCAACTTCTTTCGGCTTCTTGTGGCACAGCGTGCCGCTTATGATACTGGCGAAGTTTGTCATGGGGGTGACGCAGGCGTTACAGGGGGTGTGGGGCACGGTGTGGACCGTCGCGATGGCGCCCCCAGACATGAAGACCTCCTGGCTGGGCATGGGCGGGATATCCGCCGGCCTGGGCAACGGCATCTTGAGAAGGAAACATTTGCATCAACCTAAACTGTCGGAACTCTGTGCGGGTTTCTCGGATCGGCGCCTGGCCCCCCCTTGCGGCGCCTCTGGAGGCGCCCCCGGCGCGCGGAGCGCGCCAGAGGGAGAGGGGTCCAGCGCAGTTCCAAGAAAGGGGCGCGGAGCTCCTGAACCACGAGATCCGGTGTCACGATATTCGACCGGAGCCCTGGACCCCGTCCTGCTGCTGCCTTTGTCGAGCCGCGTCGGTCCGTGAGGGCCCCGGGGGCCCGAAAGAGAAGCAGCAGCGCCCGTGGTGAAGGACCCCATCTTTCCGCTGCACTGTTCGAGCCGCATCGATCCTTGAGAAGCCCAGGGCCCGAAGCAGAGGCAGAGTCGCCCGTTTGTGCAGAGAGTGCGACGCGAGGATCTCACGGAAGTTTAGGTTCCTGCTGGCGTTTCTTCCTCTGGCATCGGCACCTGCGTGGCTGGGTACGGCACCGCCAGCGGCTGGCCGTACGATGGGCTGCTTCTCCACCACCACTACCATAGGTAGGAGAGGGAGGAGGAGGAGGAGGAGGAGGAGGAGGAGGAGGAGGAGCTCGAAGAGGACCTCCCCATCATCCCTTCTCCCCCGTCCTACCTATATTTATGATGCTCCAACCTAATTTAGCCTTGATCACCATAAAGAATTTCGAGCACCAGAAAAAAAAGTACCGAAACTCAAGGGTTTTCACGTGTCGGGCCGCCCTCGGAGACATTCGCCCGACACTGTTTCGACACTCTTTTGACACTCTCTTGACACTTTTCCGGGTGCTCGAAATTATTTCTGGGATGCGGTCTTTTAAGTAGGATGGGAACAACAGAAACCTATGGCAGCGGTAGCGGAAAACTCGCCCGTCACCGTACCTCATCGCCTTCCTCGTCGCGGGGCTGGTGCTCTGCGGGCTCTGGCTCGTGCAGCTGTTCCTCCCGGCCCGGTGGCTCCGCGTGGAGCTGCGGGAGGCAGACCGGCCGCCACCCGGGGGGAGAGCTTTTTAAGTCGGGCGCGTCAGAAGTGGGCAAATCATAATACGGGAGCGATTCTTTCATTACTTTTGAACCAATGTTTGAAATACTACTTTTGAATATGTTTGATTATTTTTGGTGTATCAAAAATGGGCTAATGATAATTATGGGAACGATTCAAAAGTTGGCAAATAATAATATAGGACGGTTTTCGAATACGTTTGAAATATTTCTGATTCCAAACTATCCCGTGGTGTTGGGTCCTCGTTCTGAAAAGACGGCGCCCCGCGCTCCTCCTTCTCTCCTCCTCTCCGCCTCCCGCTCCTCCCTCCTCTCCTCCCCGCCTCTGGTCTCCGCATGCCCGCCACAGCTTCTTGTCCCCCTGCCTCTGGCCTCCCTGCCTCTGCTCCTTGCCGCTTCGGCACAGCCCTCACGAGGATCGTGGCCCCATAGGGAGCTCCACCGACGCCTCAGGCACCCGACTCAGGAGGAAAACAACACACAGACACACTGAATCGTCGATCCCCCAGAAGATATGGGAAAGTATGGCAATTGGAGGGGAAGACAGAAACCCAGAACATATGGGAAGATATGGGGAATCGTTTTATTTGTGTGTATTTATTTGTGTGTCCCAGGGCCCCTTCACCGACGCCCATTTTGGCAAACCCTTCACACGGCTCGTGGCCCCACAGAGCGCTCCACAGAAGGCCTCAGTGCCACCGCCCGCATGCACCCGACGCCCATTGTGGCACACCTTTCACACGGCTCGTGGCCCAATAGGGAACTCCACCGAAGGCCCCAGTGGCACAGGCCGCATGCGCCCGACGCCCATTTTGGCACACCCCTCACACGCTTCGGCCCCAGTGGCGCAGGCCGCATGCGCCCGACGCCTACTTTGGCACACCCCTCACACGGTTCGTGGCCCAATAGGGAGCTCCACCGAAGGCCCCAGTGGCACACATTTTGGCACACCCCTCACACGGGTCGCGGCCACATAGGAAGCTCCACCGCAGGTCCCAGTGGCACAGGCCGCATGCACCCGACGCCCATTTTGGCACACCCCTCACACGGTTCGTGGCCCAATAGAGAGCTCCACCGAAGGCCCCAGTGGCACAGGCCGCATGCACCCGACGCCCATTTTGGCACACCCCTCACACGCTTCGTGGCCACATAGGGAGTTCCACCGAAGGCCCCAGTGGCACAGGCAGCATGCGCCCGACGGCCCTTTCGGCACGCCCCTGACACCGATAGCGGTTCCCACAACGCGGTAGTCACAATTGCGCACGGTTGGGTTCTTCGCCAGGATGATTTCTCTGCCGGAATCATTTTGAATTTCCCTTCCAAAATCCGATCGTAGGAAGACATGCCCGACCTAAGGGCAGTTGTGGCCTTCCCTGCCCGCTCCGGGGAAGGAGCCCATCGGTTTCGACACCCCTCTCGAGGGTTCGTGGATGTGATCGTTTTCTTATCCATTCGGCGCCGGGCCCGCGCAGCCCCCCCTCCCCCCCCACGGAGTAGATCTTGGCTGTTTTCGGCACATGTTTCGGGCAGGTGGCGTCTCCCCCGGTTGGGACGCACGGCTGCAAACATTCGCCTGCTTCGAGCTGTGGCCCTCCCCGTCCCGCACCCCTCCCTGGAGGAGCCCATCGGTCGAGGAAGGGATTCGGGAACGGAGGGGGAGGAGGAGGAGGAGGAGGTGGGGGAGGAGGAGGGGGAGGAGGAGGAGGGGGAGGAGGAGGAGGGGGAGGAGGAGGGGGGAAAGGAGGAGGAGGAGGGCATCGGTCGATTCGGGCGCGTGGATGGGCGACGGGCCCCATCTCCGAGCGGGATCGGCGCGCTCCGCCACTTCAGCGTGGGCGTTGCCAGCGCCACGTGTCGGGGCTGCCTGCCTCCCACGGTCCATGGACCTGGCGACCGCACACCAGATCCACGATTCCGACGACGACCACGACCACGACCACGACCACGACCACGACCACGACCACGACCACGACCACGACCACGACCACGACGACGACGACGACGACGACGACGACGACCACGACCACGACCACGACCACGACCACGACCACGACCACGACCACGACCACGACCACGACGACGACGACGACGACGACGACCACGACCACGACGATGACGACTGCGTGCGCCCGCATCGGTTTGGGCGTCATCGGTGTGGCGGGGGCGGCCGCGGCCTCTCCCCCCCGAGAGGCGGCTGGCCTCGGAGAGGGCGCCGCGGAGAGCGGCAAGCCTCGGGGAGCAGACGACGGCGCAGGCAGCATCCGTCGGAGGTGTGCGCTGCCTTTGATGGGCTGGTCGTCCACCGTCACCACAATAAGTTGGAGGGCGGAAGGAGGAGGAGGAGGAGGAGGAGGAGGAGTAGGAGGAGGAGGAGGGGGATGAGGAGGACCCCCTCTCCCGTCCAACTTATGGTGGTGGTGGTGGTGGTGGTGGTGGAAAACAGGCCCATCAGCCTTCGTGGATCCGCGCCGGGCCTCCCTGGCGGTGCCTCTGGCGCCGCCCCTGGCGCGCTCCGCGCGCCGGGGAGGGGGTCCAGGCGCCAATCCAAGAAATCCGCGCGGACCTCCGAGGAGTCATGCTTCCGTGCGCCGTTGTCTCGTTCCCCTGGAGCACGGCACCAGGGACGACGATGCCCACGGCGGCGACACGGGAGGCTACAGGGTGTTCCTCAGGAACCCAGTCTTCCTGTGGACGGCTCTGTCGAATTCCCTGGCAATGTTTCAGGCCACAGGTATCCAGTTTTTGTTCGTCTCAGGCTTCATGGCCATCTGGGCGACGGGACAGAATGAGCCTCTCGACAAGAGCTGGGTAACGACGATGTTTTTGGTAGTGACTGGAGTGGGCGGCACCATCGGGGTCGTCGGTGGCCCAATCGTCATCGACAAGTGCGGCGGGTTTGCCCTCTGGCCAGACATTGTCCGAACTCTGCTGATCCTGATGGTCTTCCAGGGCGTGGCTGGCGTGGGAGGCCTCTTCGGCGTGTGGACCCTCTACGCCAAGATGATGGGCCTGCCTTCCGCCACCGCCACCGTGAGTTGGAGGGGGGGAGGAGGTGGAGGGCGAGGAGGAGGAGGACGACGAGGAGAAGGAGGAGAAGGAGGAGAAGGAGGAGAAGAAAGAGGAGGCGGTGGAGGAGGAGGAGGAGGCGGAGGAGGCAGAGGAGGAGGAGGAGGAGGAGGAGGAGGAGGAGGACCTCCTCCCCCTCCAACTCGTGGTGGTGGTGGTGGAACGCAGGCCCCTCACGAGAACCACACGGACTACGAGTACTCGGGCGAGTGGGGCGACGTGTGGCTCTGGCTCACCCTGCTGTCCATCCCCGGAGGAGGGCCCGTTGAGACCACGGCGGCCCTCCCGCCGGGGGCCCGCGTCCGCTCAAGCTCGGTCCCCGACATCCCATGAGGGGAAACAACACACACAGACACAAGCAAGCGCCGACTCCCAGGAGGAGATGGGAGAATATGGGAGGGGGGGGGGAAGACGAACATTCCCCCAACAAAAATAAGCAAATGTGGGGAATTCCTGGGATCGGTGCGTGTTGATTTGTGTGTCCTTGGGTCCCTCGAACATCCCGCCCCCCCCCCCTGGGGGGTCCATCCCGGCCCGCTTCTCGAGGCGGACCCAACCGTGGCCATGCACACGAGCTGCCTCTGGGAGGCCCCCCAACGAGGCCATCCCGGCCCGCCTCTCGAGGCGGATCCGGCCGCGGCGGCACGAGCAGCCTCCGGGAGGCCCCCCCCTCCGCAGAGAGGGCGGCAGTGGCCTCGGCGAGAGGGCCTCCGCGGGTCTCGGCCGGCCCTCCTCCGGCCCTCTTCCTGGTCATGGCCGCCCAGAACGGGTGCGTCGCCGCCCTCTGCGGCATCAACGCCCAGGTGGTCCCCAGCCTCCTCCTCCTCCTCCTCCTCCTCCCCCTCCTCCTCCTCCTCCTCCTCCTCCTCCTCCTCCTCCTCCTCCTCCTCCTGGGAGATGGGGCCCGTCGCCCATCCACGCGCCCGAATCGACCGATGTGCTCCTCCTCCTCCTCCGCCTCCTCTTTTCCTCCCTCCTTCTCCCCCTTCTCCTCCTCCTCACCCCTCCTCCCCTCCCCCCCTCCTCCTCCTCCTCCTCCTCCTCCTCCTCCTCCTCCCCCTCCTCCTCCTCCTCCTCCTCCTCTGCGGCATCCACGCCCAGGTGGTCCCCAGCCACCTGCGCACGTCCAGAGGAAGAGAACGCGCCAGAGACACAAACTTTTGGAGCCCCGCGCGGATTTCTCGGCTCCGCGCCGGGCTCCCCCGGCGGCGCCTCCAGCGCCGCCCCTGGCGCGCTCCGCGCGCCGGCATCGCTCGGGCGTGCGCATTTTTTTTTCGGCGACGGCCATCGAGGACCATCCTTGATCATTTGGCGAAAATCGGGCCAGGCGAAAGGGGGGGATTGGGAAAGGGGGGGTTACGAAATTTGCTGCATGCAGCTGGCTTCGGCCTCACCGAGGGGCCCATTCCTCGATACATGGCCGCCTCCAGCGCCGGGAGGCGCCGGGAAAGTCAGCTACGTGAGCTGATTCTCAAACCCCCCTTTGCTATCCCCCCCTTTCGCCCGACGCGAGAAAAGAAACACGCACGAAACCGAAAAATGCACGGGAAATGGACGTCCGAGCGATGGCGAGGGGAGGGGGGGTCCAGCGCAGATCCAAGACGTCCGCGCGGGGCGCCAAGAGTTTGCGTGTATGGCGTTGTTCCTTCCTCTCACGTCGGCGTCCGGCTGCGAGATGGCTCTGCGGTTCTCGGTGGGGGCCATCGGCGGCAGTCTGGCTCCAGGCACCGTCATGTCGCTGATCCGGCTGCGCTCCCGCGCGAGCCCGTCACTTGAAGAGGAGCACCCGCGCTCCTCGTCCCCTTGCTCTCCCCCACGTGATCATTTGTTTATTCATTCTTTCGCCGATCGGCGCGGCCCCCCCTCCCCCTCCCTATGGACTAGATATTGGCCGTTTTTGGTGCCTGTTTCGAGCGGGTGGAGCCTCACCTCATAGGGCGCACTACGCAGAGGTCCGCAGTCAGACCCCCCCCCTCCCCTCCGCCCCCTTTCCGCCCAATGTCGAAACGCCGAATCAAAAAAACGCTCGCCACTCTGTTAGCGCCTGGAGACTGTGGTGCGGCTTCTCGCGAGGTTTGCAGCGCGTTCCTGACAGTTTCAGTCGTGCCCTCACGGACCTCATGTGGCGAGGACATGCCTTTTGGCAGCGGCGGGTACATCGAAGAAAGATCGACGAGGAAATCGTGCGTACACATCACATTTCGGAACTCCGCGCGGACTTCTTACATCGGTGCTGGCCCCCTCCCTGGCGGTGCGAGTAGATACCGATACCGATACCCTTCCTTTGTTTTCGTTTTCTTGGGGGTCCTGGAGGGGGGGGCTCGGCGCCACCGCTGGATTCGCTTCAACATTCTGTTCAGGACGCACCCGAGGAGAGGTCCGGTGAGGAGCGATGTGGGTATCTCGTGGTTTCCTCACTCACCGCGCCCAGGCGGGCGCTCTTTGAGGGAGATTGTGGTGAACTTTTGTTTGGGGGAGGGGCAGCGGTTGGAGCTTGGTACAGAACTTGTTACAGGTGTGATAGAACAGCGCACACGTGCGACAGCATTCCGCACGCTCATGGTGTGGAGCTTCGGTGAGCACGCAGTGAAACAACGAGACGTTGCACGGTGTGGCAATGGTGCTCCTCACATGCGCAGTGTGGTTCGAACTTGTATGATGCAGCACCTCAGGGTTTGACGACGATGCTCCGCAAAGTGTACGCCACGCAGTGTTGCGGATCAATGCCGTGGAACCTCTTGCAGGGATTCTCTGTCAATTTTGGCACCGTTTTTTTGGGGGAGCCCAGGAGCGCAGTTCCGACGCATTGCTAATCAAGTGCGCCCGTGTTAGCCTCGCTGCACCCGGGGGGGGGTGGGGGCACCATGTCTTTTTCGTGCCTCTCCGCCCAAGGGGCAAAAGCGGCAGCGCAGTCTAAGGCCACCTGAGCACTGGGCACGCCCGCCGCCGCATGGGCGCGGTGGCGGATCCACTACGGCGACGAGGCATACCTGTACAGCTGCGGGCTGGGCTTCGTGCTGGCCTGCAACCTGTGCGGGCTCCCCATGATGGGCGCCGCGAGGCACGCGGCGAAGTTCAAGCTCGACACGGAGCGGCACATGGTCCTCTCGAAGCTGCGCGAGCTGTGCCAGGAGGAGAACGTACAGGCGCTCGAGCAAACCATCGCCGCCGCCAGGCAGCTCAAGCTCCAGGAGTGGGACGAGGGCTCCACGGCCCTCGGCGTTGCCAACGAGCTCGTTGGGCACCTGCGGGGGGGGGACGCGGTGACCGAAGAATGTAAAACTGCATCGATAGGGAGGAGAGAGAGGAGGACGAAACGGCAGAGAGGGTAGGAGGGAGGCGAGAGGAAGGAGGAGGGAGGAGGGAGGAGGGAGGAGGAGAGGAGGA